TGACCTTTTGTTCTTCCCCATTTTGCCTTCATCCTGCCAGAGACACAGATGTGATAGTTGGAACTGCAGTAGCCACCCTGTGTTCGTGAGGAAGCCTAAAATTGATATAGTAGAGACAGGTGGAACTTTGGTCCCTGAGACTTTGTGGAGCTGCCAAATTTAACCTGGATCTCCTACTTCTAGATTTGCTGTTCTACTTTCTTATTTTTCTTATAATAATTCTTAAATAATTTAAACCATCATAAGTGGCTTTTTGTTATTATCAGTCAAACACAGCTCCTAAATGACACAGAATTATTAGGAAAGGCTTCTGCAGTAGACTGTATTTTCCAAAAATGGCTGCAACAATATCTTCCATCTCACACAGTCTTTGGTGGAAACTATGTCTCCTCCCCTTGAACTTGGGTGGACCTTTGTGACTGTCTCAACTAATGGAGTATGGTGGAAGTGGTGCTACATGATTTCCAAGGCCAGCTCATAAAAATGCCACATCCTTCCTCTTGGCTTTCTCGTGGGACACTCAGTCTTGGAAGCCAGCCACCATGCTACAAGGAAGACCAGACTTGCCTGTGCCGAGACCACTGGAGAGGCAACAGGTAAGCGTTCTGGCCAACAGCAGCCCAGTGGAGGGCCCAGATGACAGTCAGCCTCAACAAGCAGGTGTGTGAGTGAAGACCCCTCCAGGTGACCCCAGCCCCCAGTGAGCCATCGGGTCACCCCTGGTCTTTGAATCTCCCAGGTGAAGCCTTGGATGTTGTCGAACAAAGAGAGACTCCCTCCACTGTGCCTGTCCGACTTCCTGGCCCAGAGAATCTGTGAGCATAACAACATGGTTCTTCTACACCACTGGGTTTGGGGGCACCACTAGTTTGAGGCAGTGACACTTGAGCTGAACCCTGAGTAAGAAGAAGGAACTTGCTATGAGAAGATCAGGGGTGAGACTTTCCAAAAAAAAGAAAAAACCCAGTGAGACGATTCAGAACAGCAGGAAGACCAGGGCGGCTGCATCAGTGATGAAGCAGCAGCAAGAGGCCATGCTGATGAGGGCGGGGCCCCGTCACACGGGCCTCTTAGGCCAGGGAACGTCTCCAGAAGCTTCAGGTGGTGACAATTTCCAGGGCTGTCTCTCCCAGTCAGCAGACTGGCTTCTGAACAGGCCTTCAATGCCTTAGCCCAAAAGAGGGGCTCAAGGGAAGAATGTTCAGCTTCTGTTAGGAGAGGAGTTTGTTTAGATGAGAAAACAGAAAGAACTGAAGGTGTATGGGCCATGTCTACTCAAAATTTCTACTCACAGCCGGGCTCGGCGGCTCAGCCTGCCATCCCGCGCCTTTGGGAGGCTGAGGTGAGTGGATTGCCTGGGCCCGTGGG